TGAGCCATGTTGGTAGATGCAGACTACTTGGTTGGGGTCCGCGTGACTTTCGTAACCAATGGTTGGAGACTCTTGGTGACATGGCTCAGAATCGATCACAATGGCGTCGGTGTATACACTCCCTGTCTTCCCTTAAACTAAGAGACTAAAATCACTTCATTCTTTCTGTCTACGAACTAATTCTTTCTTCCTATACTATATCCTTATTGCAACCTTTGACCTAACCACTCCTATGAATCCGCTGTTCATCTTGCTGTGCTAATGAGGTATGGCAACCTGGACCGATGCACATATGTGCCTGGTCCTACGTTGTAGCTGACTGACTGACTGACTGCTTAAATCATTCATCAAATGCTTTAAATCTCATGCGTTTATGTTGCATTATGTTTGATTACAGAGTAGAGACTGGTTCGCAAATCAATGAAATCATCTTTCTCAACACTAGTCAGGGAACAGTGAATTGAAGAATACTTTTAAATCCCATGCTATCAACTCGTAATGATCCACTACAATCCCTTGTACAGACTATCCTATCAAATCAACGCAATCGATAGTCGTCCGAACTGTTAAAAAGGGACAAAGAGTGACAAAGTTTTAACTTACAAGACTATTTTCGATTTATTATTATTTTAGCATTCTCATTGCACACTTAGTTGTTGCCTTCCGACATTACACTTAATGTAAGCTGTCAGTGAATCTTCTGACTATTTCCATGCGTTCCATGGTTGATTTAGAGACAACGGAGCACTGATCTGATTTCCATATGTGCCTTCTGAGTGTGCACATGGGTAGATGGAGATCGAGGACTAACAATCGTTAAATCGGTGACCGTGTTTCATTGGTCAGAGTCAAGTCGTGAACCATATCACTGGAGTAGCATATGAAATTGATCAGCATACCAATTCCTAACATACTAGCGAATTCAAGACACAACACAAACCGTGAGGCAATGCGCATGAAGAACAAGCAACTTTGCATATCCACAGTATTCATGTAAGTGTGCAATTCACTTTTGTCTATTGTTCACAAAAGTAGTTGTACAGTCTACTAGTTCCTCGAACAAGATATTGTATCTATCATATGTACTCCACGTTTTCTAATTTTGACTCAGTTAGTTACGCCATGGAATTGGGCCATCAGTACACACTTCATACCCAGAAATAACAATGAAGTTTTGAGGGTCATTTATGATGATGATCAATCAACTCTTGAATTCAGTAAATTTGAGATATCCAAATAATTGACGTACCTATAAGCTTCTCAGTAAAAAGTCTCATCTTTTGTACTTGCATGTCCAGCATTTCCAATTCATCTGTGGAAAGAGTACAGGAAAGTTTGTCTTTGTTGAAAAATCTATTTCTTTTTATTACCGAAAAATCAATGTGCAGAAACATTTGCTTGATGGATCACAGTTGTGTGAGATTATCCAAGATTCGAAAGTTGTATATGCAAGCATGCATGCGTGCAACGTGTTGAGTGACATAGACGCGTGAATATGGGTGATAACTACTCCCTACTGAAGAATGATAAGCAGTTTTCACATAGAACTGTAGATGGTCATAGAAAAGAAACTCTCGATGTCTGAAAGAACTAGGTCTTTAATATGATTTATGATCTTCAGTAGACAAGGAAAACAACATAACATGAAGAAATGGTAACTTGCTTTCATTATCTTCTATTATATTTTTAATTTTATCCATATCAATTTGTGAAGATTTCACATCTAAATATCGGAAAGATTCAAAATGTCAATTACTAATTCATCCAACAAGTAAATCACGATCATAAAAATGTATCCACAGGAGGAGGATGGTAAACTTGATGTGTGTATCATTGTCATATAATTGAATGTATCCATCGTATATGCGTATGGAAGCGTAAATAGCTCCTTTTGCTGATATGAAACAATGTGACTTAAATAAGGTGTAATCGGTTTGTCAGTTGAGGTTATAATTACAGAATACCGTTACAAGAACTAAACATTATTAGTTGACTGGCCATTCGATTTTAAACGACTATCCCGTAATTAGAATAGGAAGCCTTGACTAATATCAGTGAGTTATCATTCATTATCCTTGTTTGACGATTACATAATTCTTCTTAAAATTACTGAATTTTAAAGTGAGAACAATCAAAATATGAGTCAGTGATCTAAATGTATCCTACTTGTCACGAGACATGAATCTTCAATTTTGCTAGCCATCAATGGTTCACAATGCCAAGAAGAACGTAACTAGCATTAAATGACTGTACAGTGTTATCTGCTGTCTTCTATTTGACCACGTCATTGGGAGATTACGAGGAATGTCATCTTGAAACTAAATGCATTACAAACGTGATCACCTGTGATTTGTAAACAAGATGTAACAGATAACAAACAACTACAGAGTAGCAGTATAACAATCACATCAGAGCATGAGATTCATGTAAAATGAGTAAATAGAGATGATATTATTGGTAGTACAAACTGTTGCTTCATAGTCAGGTTTGTCATAGTTTATTTCGACTCTTGTTTGTCGAAAAGAGCTTTCTTACACTGAAATGGTATCAGTGGATAAATCTGAAATAAACTGAATGACAAGGATTCAAACGTTCATTTTTGTCATTCTGTTTCCTATTTGATAATGATGAAATAGAACCACAATTCAAATAGCTTATCACTCGAGGTAGATGACAACAAATCTATGTCAATATAACAATCAGAACACTATGTTAACTATAACTAGTCAAGTATGGTTAAAGTCAATATTGGTGAAATATTATATCTTATGAATATTCGAACACACTCACCCATTTGTTTGGTTACACACAGCAACAGAATAATGATGATACAGTTGTATGCCATCGAATGAAGTACAATTCTGATGTATATCCTAATGAAACGAAGCTTTCACTGTCGTTCTTTATATAGTGAATACAGAACAGAAAGGTATTCACCAATCACATTTTGACAAATACAGTAAAATATTTGAATAACGATGTATGGCGTTGGTGATTTCGATAATCCATCTTCATAGTCGGTCGTTCCACATATAGAAAACACCCACACTCATATAGATCGGAAGTATTTCTTTGATCACATTAAATGATTGAAGTTTATCTTCTGTTATTTGGCTTCATTTAATGAATGATCGTTAACATAAAAACAAAACCAGACTAGTTCTATCTGGAATGCGCTAATCCTGTCTGATCAACACTGATATGCTCACAATAGTCTACAAAAGTCTATAAAAATATGATTAGACTGAAGAAATATCTCTTCTCAATTAGCTGTTCATTAAGGCTCTATGGAGATAGTTTGGTTTTACAAGTGAGTAGAAAGTCGATACCATTTAGATGATGGTGAGTCAAGTTAGCATTTGAATGATTGAAACCATAACTGAAGTGAGGTTTCATAATCACCTAATTATCACAACTACTTGCAAAAGAGAATCAATGGGAATGGAGATTGTATGTAAGTAATGTTGATGATGTTTTCGTTACCGATGATAAAATGTATACGTTTTCACTAGGATTTGTACAATGAATGATAGACAACAGGGATCTAGGTATCAATACCAAGGTTGGACCTCATAATTAGAACGTTAATAACCAAAATCAGTCATTTGTTTACTCTGAAGAAGTGGTTTGCACTAAGTCACGAAACGTCAAATATACCTTCTTCTACTCAATGAGATATAAGAAAACGTATATTTACTATTGGACAAAAGGATTTTCAACCAGGTTACACACGATTAGAAATGGAACCTAATATGCCAACAAAATTGTGTAAGAATGCATTTTGAATTATGTGATAGTATTTCTGTAGAATCCCAGAGTAAATTCAACGGTTGTATAAACGTTTCCATTTTATGGGCATTAGGTCTTATGATATTTATTTCTATGATTTCTAGAGTATATAAGAGTTGAATTTGAAAACCTTTGATAAGGACCTAACATACATGATATTGATCACCACCCAAAAGCCAATCAACTGTGGATCGGAGTTGATTTCATGTTGGCTGCAAATATACGAAATACTTCTGGTCATTTAATCTAATTTAAACTAAAACTCAAGGTTAGAACCAACTATGTTGTGGATAACCAAAAGTCAATATTTACGACTTTTGTTTAGCAGCTTGAACTATAAACTTATCCCCTATTCCTTCAAAGTAACTAGATTTTTAGTTACACCATATTGCAAATCGACCATACAGATCGTCCAATATAGCTATTTTCACTCATGTTTACAGAGAAAAGTAATTGTCCATTATATACGTAATTGTACTTTTAGACTTCTTATGTTTTATATATATGCCTTACCAGATGCTACTTATAAATCGTAAATGATCAGAACTGGCTTTCTCGGGTCACCCCACTGTCTTAGCTTTGTGTCAACTGAATGTAGTCAGTGAATGCCTGTTGTTTTAATGGTCAGGTATACATATTTTCATGTGGTTGATGGCAACAATTCATCTTACATCGTTTTTCATGTTGTTCCATATCTCAGCTCTCAAGTCCAAACAGCTTATAATTATTGTGAGAAATTATGACAGACATAAAACCGAGATTGTGAGCTTGCTGATTTACGAAAATTGCTGCATCAGAAGTATCTTCAAAAACTTCATGAACCAGGGTTAGTTTCTTATATCAACTTGTAGGTAAATATCTGACCATCACTTGAACAACTTCGGTATTGTCAGTTTTTCCTTGAGAAATTTTAAATTGCTTGATTACTTATTGTTCTTTTACCATCGTCCTTCTAACTAACATTATGTTGTATATATTTCCAAGATATCTATTTAATATTCAGACAACTATTTTTATTACATTCAAGAATCCTCTTGACAAACAATCCTATTGAAACGGGGGAGATATTGGAAATGTTCGAATCCTTGAAACTGTCTTTTGAACTATTATATTTGGTCGTCGCAACTGTTATAGCTGGTCGTCGCTGATTGTTGTGCCGGGAAAACGCTGATCACTTATACTCAGAACGAGGGACTTCTGCAATTCTCACGATGCGAAAGTAAGAACACAAAAACATTTTGATAAATACAGTAAAATATTTGAATAACGATGAATGGCGTTGGTGATTTCGATAATCCATCTTCATAGTCGGTCGTTCCACATATAGAAAACACCCACACTCATATAGATCGGAAGTATTTCTTTGATCACATTAAATGATTGAAGTTTATCTTCTGTTATTTGGCTTCATTTAATGAATGATCGTTAACATAAAAACAAAACCAGACTAATTCTATCTTGGATGCACTAATCCTGTCTGGTCAACACTGATATGCTCACAATAGTCTACAAAAGTCTATAAAAATATGATTAGACTGAAGAAATATTTTGTCTCAATTAGCTGTTCATTAAGGCTCTACGGAGATAGTTTGGTTTTACAAGTGAGTAGAAAGTCGATACCATTTAGATGATGGTGAGTCAAGTTAGCATTTGAATGATTGAAACCATAACTGAAGTGAGGTTTCATAATCACCTAATTATCACAACTACTTGCAAAAGAGAATCAATGGGAATGGAGATTGTATGTAAGTAATGTTGATGATGTTTTCGTTAACGGTGAGAATATTGATTCGTTTACAGTAAGATTTATCCAATTAAAATAAACAATAAAAATGAAAGCGTCAATGACAATGTTGGACTTGATAGATTCAAATAAATTGAATATTGGGTAGAAAGTGAATAACCGAATTCGGTTATTTGGTCGTCGCAATTGTTATATCTGGTCGTCACTGATTGTTGTGCCAGAAAAACGCTGATCACTTATACTCAGAACGATAGACCTCTGCAATTCCCACGATACGAAAGTAAGAACACAAAGACTGGTATAAGTGAAGATTTATTAGCCTCAAAACACTATGACGACGACTACGATTATGATGATAATAATAATAATAATAATGAATAACAATAGTCTAAAATACACTGGTTTATATATTGATTGTACACCCATTTTGATTGAGAATTAGGACTAAATCACATACTCAGTTATAACAAATCACTTACTGAGCATAGTTCATGTCAATGGAATACAAGAATATCGTATATTATACAGAAGAAAATATTATACTGGGAAAACAAATCAAGTACTATATTAAATGATCCTCACGTTGAATCAAAACGGATGTTGAATAAAACTCATAATGAGTAATTCCATCATACCACGAAGTAATATTGTTTATATCTTTGTATTATTGCTAAGTAACTAGACTATCATCATTCTATATTTTAATCGTTGTAAGCTGATATTTTACCCACTAACTATCGCTGTGCGTCTCATCAGTCGTTCACCTGATTTAAAGTCACTTATTGCCTGTTCGAGCATAACTATGAATTTCCGTTTTATAGAGTGGTCTGGTTTGGTTTGTTAGTATATAAACCTGTGGCCTGGAAAATATGATAATAACACCTGACTGAAGACTTCCTTTTCACACTCATGGTTGAGGATGGATGGAGGCGTACAAATAGAGGTACAGCTTATGTAGGCTAAAGGTTTTTTGTGTTAGTCATAACACATAACTGATCAAGATGAGCAAAATCAGGCTAAAAACAGAATGGCAGACGTGAATTACAAAGATTATAATGAGTGATTTTGGCGACTACGGCTTTATCGCAGTGCAGTTCCTCATTAATGGTAATGTCAGCGTGTTCGCTAACACAAAAACCACGACGTCGTTTCAAGTAGATATAGATTATGTCCAATCACACAAAATAAGCTTTTAACACGAACACATAAATTGCCTCGAAGGCTTCACTAGTGGGATCTTTATGCTAGTGCACCAACTTGATTTAATTGCCAATCTAGAAAAATAGTTAGTTAACGTCCAATGTGCGCTTGCTTTTCGCCTATTTCCCCACATTACTGTAAGCGAACCGACCATTGAATATGACCGCTTCTTCATTGTGATGTTCTGATTGGACTGAAACTTCCGTATGACTCTTTTGAATCATGCATGCACCTATTATTTGGCCGATAAGTACATCATAATGAAGATGTAGACACTGCAGCACTTTGAAGTTGTTTCTAATTGTTTTCTATGCTATTTAAGAAAACGAAACGGGTGGTTATAGCCAAGTCATTCAACACCCAAGCTTTGCATCCCAAATCCCCAACAAACTCTGAAGTCATATATAGATATGAATCCCACATATATCTAGAATTTCTATCTACACACTTATGTTATGCAGTCACAGGTATTTTTGTTGACAATCTCACTAGATTTCGAGGTTTTTACGCCTCTTTTCAAGCGCACGTGGTTTGATAAGTATAAAACTACAAGGACCTGGTCTCAACAAAGTCACACCATTCTTCTCAATCCACTCTAGAAACATTTGTACATTGATAGTCTTAAATGATTTATTCTGGCTTTAGGACAGAGTTCAAGACCTTGTGCAGCATATGACTACTCGGTCATTTTTACCTCCATAATACCTTCATTTTTTTAGGGGACTGTGGCATTTAGCAAGTATATGCTTTATATTGATGAGCTTATTATTCTACTCTTATACACCTTGTTTTTACTTGCGTGTGTGTGTGTCACTCATTATTTTATCCAGCGCCTTTCCCATTGTCACACTGAGAAGTATCTATATTCAGCTAAGCAAGAACACTGAGTGGAAAAACGTAGTTGACACGCTTGCCTACATAATTGGCAAGATCAGTTTTTAAATCTTCACTTACAAGCTTCATTGTTCCGTCATTCATATTGTTAGCTTGATTGCTGCCATTTTCCTTCTCTTTATTAAAATTTACTCAAACTTTATTTCGCAGATATTCAACTCTTCCCATCATCTTGTTCAATTCACATGACAATTCAATGTTTAGTTATCAGTATTACACTCACTGTTTATTTACAATAACACCCAGTGAAATTCAAACAGGAACATTGTCTCGCAACGACTTTCACATCTCGATTAGGTTTCATCCCCGATGTTTTTACCCTCGTGTGTTTGGATCCCATTTTCAACATTCTTGTCAGTGAATGAAACTGTACACATTAACAGCTGTCTAAATGAGTGATTACACACAAAACAGAACACAATTATAGTGTATTGATATTAAGACGTCAATGAACTGGTATGATAAACCATCAGTCGGGGAAACGTAAACAAGAGGTTTGACAAAGAATCTCAGTAGGCATTTCCACCCAGATCATCTGATTACTAATTCAACACTCACATACAAACAGATTGGATTCAGAACACTTGACTCTAATGTAATCTGACTTCAACCTGGTTAATAGTATGGTTTGTCTACCCAGAACTGGCAAAGCTTTACGTCGATTAAATCGTACGTTGGACTATACAGAAGTTTCTTTCTGTGAATTTTGAAAGGCTCGAATTGTTTAACGAAACAATACAAGTAAAATCTACTATAGTCATCGTTTTCTACTAACAAACATATCATTGGATTACTGTGGTAAACAGTAGTCGAGGATTGTTATATCCTAATGAAGAATAAATGAATGTTAACTATTGGTAATTATCTATGGACTGTTGCTGTATCTAGATCCATATTGTTTAATTTTTATGTTACTAGATTACATATATTTATATTCTCTCATTATAAGCATTTATTTGGACGATATGCTACTATTACATGATTTACCATTGTTTAGTTATTCTTAGTCCATTATATACAGTCAATACACTCACAGCCACTATTGGCTTAATCTTGTATAAATGTCATTGTCTACTTCATGGTATGATGCGGACTGATTTTTTTGTATGCGAACTACATATGTCTAAAATACACGATTCATAAAATGGAAGCTGAGATCGTGTTTTGAACACGACGGGCATAACAAAACGATAAGTCCCAATAAGTATTCTGAGGTGACTCATGAAACACTCATCCACAATAAGCACTGTAGATCATATAATCAGAAACTTCGTTTGACCTAATTATACAGAGATAGTAAACGGTAGTATCTATTTTTATTACCTTGACGTATAGTTTGTTCGATGGAGCTAAGTACCCACCTATATTCCTAATTAAAACCTTGAATCACTATTCAGAATATAACACATGACCAAGTTAAACTTATCCGACAGGTTACTTTATCACTCAGATCTATCACTAACTTATAGAGCCTGAAATTAAAGTGAGATCGGGAAACAAGTAATCGGTTTTCATGAGAGTATACACTAAAATCTAAGTTTATTTAGATTATTGTATGTATATTGCCATAACTGATTGTCTAAACTTTAATACATCCGTTTAGAACGTTACAGCAACCAACAATCTCAAAAAAGACGAGAAGAGCGATAAATCACTCTCTTCTCAATTTTTAAGTGAATAGGGAAAATTCCTACTATATTACAATCACCAATCCGATCACAAACCCGCTAAAAACAAAAGTTTATTATTTACTGGTAAGTTAAAATGAACAATACGTGAAAATAATTGTTGTAGAAGTACTCATAGTGATTACCCATTCAAAGTTACTATTCATTTAACCACCACAGAAACCTCAGGTGAATTCATTGTTTATATTTAAAAATCATCCCCATATTTGTTAATGGAGGTTGCCAAATTGCACTCCGAGTATTGTAAACAAATCTGAGAAATGTGAGTCCAGATAATTTGCTTCCAGTATAGCTTTTTGCTTCGAGAAACATCCCAACTATGTTTCTTGGAGGCAAGTGCAATTTGCGCGACGACTCGTTTTCATCTAGATTCAAAACTTCCCTCACTTTACATGCTATATTCTGAACAGACTGCGTAGAATTATCAATTTACCTTAATATCTGCAAACTCAGTCACGCCTAAATGAGGAAGTGTTGAAGAGTGGATATTAATTAGACTGCGACCATCAATCTGATTTTCAGTAAAACATTCCTATTACATATGCATTAAGACAACACATATTTAACCTTGTACTGAGAATATCCAATGCCTTCAATCCAAGAAGCAACTTGATTAACATCCCAAAGTAAAGCTTTTGGGATTTGAGTGCTATTACAGATTTCGGCGAAACTCATCACTATCAATGCAGAATATCGAATTTCCGCCACTCATATCTACGGCTACATGCCAACATCCAATAACATTGCGACGATTTTGAACTTTTGTAGCTAGTACTTCTATATAATTAAATCATTCATCCTAGCTTTCAGACGGACTTTAACAACTCATGTAGTATGTGACTACTCAGTCGTTTTCGCCTTCATAGGGAGTTTTGGCCTTCAACAAGTATACATTTTATATTCATGAGCCTTTGATTCTACACTTACATGTCTTGTTTTTATTTTTGTGTGTCACTCATTATTTATCCAGTACTTGTCTCTATATTTTACTAAGAAGTAACTATATTGAGCTGTATCAGCGATATTAATGGGTAATAAAAGGGAGTTGACACATTTGCCTTCGCCTTACCTCGCTTGCCCAATTATCATTTTTGAGATCTGACTGATGAAACAAACGCATAGAATAAATTACTTCTACTTAGTCAGTATTTGACGGCTTATAACCGCCTTCATCTAAACAGAGTTAATCCAGGTGTAGTAGATGGAATTAAATAGATTATTAGTATTCTAAAACTAAACAGTCCCAGCAAATTATATTTTTACAATATTAAGGGCTATAAGATTCGGTGTAAAGAAATAAAGGGAACACAACAGTCAAGACCAGTGGGTGAAAGTGTTTGCACAAACAATGTGAAATGACGAAAAATGATAATGATTGTGGCAGTAATAATGCACTTGACAGTACTGGGAATGATGCGACTGTTCTATATGGGGCTTGATCTTTCCTATCTTCTCCCTCCAACATAGCTAGAGAATACCCTGTTCCATTTGTCTCGAAGTTACTATAAGACCGGTGAGTGGCTAAACATATCACACGCCCTTGAATAAATTATTTGATCCACTGTTTCACTATTATAAAACGGATGATATCACGTCCAGGCGATGTTTAAAATATTCACTATTTAATTCCCTATAACACTAACCCAGGAATCAAGTAGATGATTCTCAAAGCGATCTCTGGCTTAGTATGGTGAAATGTTCCGCACTCGTTGGTTTCAGGGACTGTTTATTAGCAAGAGAGATATTAGAGATTGTTACTTACTATAGGAAGTTCATGTCCTTGTCAACGAAGATCTTGATATGTATGTACATCGATTCAAGTTGCTATAACCCATTACCGTAGAACGATGAAATTACCGAGACAAATGACTGAATGGTAGAGATAGTAACAGTGTCAGTGGTAATAAGAAACATTGAGCATCGAATATACGATTCAGGGAGAAAATGTAAATTAGTAAAATACAAACACAAAAGACAGTTTTGAGGAATTCAGAAGTTCAGAACTCAGAGGAAGGCAAACGATTATGAGTCATGACATCAAAAGTCTTTAACCATTGTTTACGATAATCACAGTCACCACAACCAGGTAGTCAACACCTATTGACATTACTTACTTACTTACTTCCTTACTTACGCCTGTTACTCCTCGTGAAGAAGCATAGGCCAACCATCAGCGCTTTCCATCCAACCCTGTCCTGACAATCCTTTCCAGCTCCTTCCAGTTGTTATCCATCCTTTTCATATCTGCTTCTATTCCCCGACGTAATGTGTTCTTCGGCCTTCCACTTTTCCGCTTCCCTTCAGGATTCCAAGTTGGGATTTGAATCGTGATGCAGTTTGACCATTTGCGTAATGTATATCCTATCCATTTCCATCGTCTTATCCTAATTTCCTCTTCACCTGAAAGCTGGTGTGTTCTCTCCCACAGAAGGCTGTTGCTGATGGTATACGACCAATGCATGTTGGATATCTTGCGTAGACAACCATTTGTTAATACTGGCACCTTCTTGATGGTGGTTGTTGTAGTTCTTCAAGTTTCAGCTCCATACAGTAGAACTGCCTTGATGTTGATATTGAAGATTCTGACTTTGATATTGGTTGACATACAGTTGTTTTGAGTCCCATATGTTCTCCAATTGAAGGAATGCGGTCCATGCTTTGCCAATCCTCACCATTACGTCTGCATCTGAACCTCTTAGTTCATCGATGATGCTTCCCAGATATGTGAAGGATTCTACAACTTCCAGAGTTTCGCCATCAAGAGTGATTGGATTGCTGTTCTCCGTGTTGTGTTTGAGGACTTTGGTTTTCCTCTTGTGTATGTTGAGGCCTACTGATGCAAAGACTGTTGCCAAACTGGCTGTCATTATCTGCATTCGTTCTTGTGCATGCGATAGGAGGGCTGGGTCATCTACAAAGTCCAAATCGTGTAATTGGTTCTGAGCTGTCCATTGTATACCGTGTTTTCCCTCAGATGTCAAGGTCTGCATAATCCAGTCGACCAACAGAAGAAGGAGGAAGGGAGAGAGTAGACAGCCTTGTCTGTCTCCAGTCTTTACTTGGAATGCATCTGTCATCTGTCCTCCATGCACGACCTTGCATTGTAGTCCGTCGTATCAGTTCCGGATAATCTCCCCAGGAACTCCATAGTGTCGAACAAGTTTCCATAGTGTTCCTCTGTCTACACTGTCAAATGCCTTTTCATAATCAATGAAGTTGATGTACAGTTACCAGTTCCACTCAACTGATTGTTCGACGATTATCCGTAGTGTCGCAATTTGTTCTGTGCACGACCGATCTTTACGGAATCCAGCTTGTTGATCTCGAAGTTTGGCGTCCACTGCGTCCTTCATCCGGTTCTGCAACACCCTGTTAAAGACTTTCCCTGGTAATGACAGTAGTGTAATGCCTCTGTAGTTTTCACATTTGCTCAGATCTCCTTTCTTTGGAATCTTGATGAAGTGTCCTTTTCTCCAGTCCACAGGCACTTGTTCTTCCTCCCAAATCTTCTTCAATACAAGGTGAAGCATGTTTGTAGTTACTTCCATGTCTGACTTCAGTGCTTCAGCTGGTATATTGTCGGATCGTGCTGCTTTCCCACTCTTGACTTGTCTGATGGTCATTCTGATTTGTCCGGTCGTTGGTGGATTGACACCTAAGGGAGGAAGATCTGTGTGTACTGCTTCGATGTCCGGTGGATTCACTGGAGCCGGCCTATTCAGGAGTTCCTCGAAGTAATCTACCCATCTGCTCTGCTGTTGTTCAATTTCTGTGATTGGCCTACCTTCTTTGTCTTTGACCGGTCTCTCTGGTTTACTATATTTCCCTGCTAGTTTCTTCGTTGTATCGTCAAGCCGTTTCATATTTCCTTCTCTTGCAGCTTTTTCCACCATCGTTGCTGGTTCTTCCACATATTTCTTCTTGCTTGTTTGCTTCTATGTATTCAGCTTGTGTTTGGACTTTCTGTGCTCGTGTTCGGCTGTTGTTAATTGTTGTCTTCTTGTTCTTCCTTTCGTTGATCCTGTCCAGTGTTTCTATGGAGGTGCATTCCTTATGATGATGCTACTTGAGGCCAAGAACAGCTTGACACGTTGAAGTTAATGCTTCCACTATACCTTCCCAGTTGTCCTCCATAGTAGTTTCTTCTTCTTTCAGTTGATCTCGTAAGGCTTGAAACCTATTGTTGAGAGCTATCTTGAATTCATTGAGTTTGTCAGTATCTCAAAGGAAGGCTGTATTGAACCTTTGTAGTGCAGTTTGTCCACTTGTCCAGTTCCTGTTTAGCTTCAGTTTTTAATTGGCCACAACTAGGTGGTGTGGTGATCTGAAGCTATGTCAGCCGCTCTCCTGGTTCTCACATCTTCCATTGTCCCATGTCCCCATGTTTCTACCCGAACTGCACTTATGTTGTTTTACTTTACACTTAGTCTTGGCGGCAGCCATATTGGTTTTTTCCTCCTTTTGATTGCTTTACCTGTGTTGACTGGAATTGTGCATTTTTGGTTGTGAATTGAGGCACTCTTCCAGAATTGGAAACACTCGGTGTTACAAAGCGAATAATTATTGTTTTTGAACGAATCTGTGCGTGGTCTATCCAGACAGGATAGAATGACATTTATTTGTTGTGATTGGTAATTTTCTTGCATCCTTAATCAACTTTCTTATTTATTGTAATTTAGATTTGATCAATTGAACAATTATTGGTTGGATAGCTGAGTGGTCATATTTGTTTAGGTAATAATGCACATTTAAATTTATGGTAAATTATAGAACCGTCATCTTACCCAATTACTTTGTTTTGGTTTCAAACGGGCAAGGGTGCGTATCTAACCCACCTAGACAGCTGTCCATCAGTCCAAACCGTAGTTTGGATCTTACAATATCTTTATATCCGGTGTTGTTTATCCCGACTTTGGCGTTTAGATCTCCCATCAGAATGGTGAGGTCCCTTCTTGGGCACTTTTCTATGATTGATTGCAGACGCTCATATAATTGATGTTTATTGTCGTCGTTGCTATCATTGGTTATTATTATTATTCCCAAACATCGTACGGGTATATAAGTGTTGTGAAGAAACCATTTCGGGTTTCTCCAAAAAATGCAATAATACACAATTTTCAATAATGTCAACATTATATTTGCCATATTTAAAAAAAAACAATAGAGCAATAATAATAGAATATTAATAATAATAAATCGGGTCTGTGTAATTGAGAAGAATAATGAATGGAGTTTAAAGAAGAAAATGGAGAAAATAAGGAAACAGAAATAAAGGAGACGTGAAATACCCATAACATTGGGTAATATTTATTGTGGTCCCCTCCTTCTTTGTTATGAATGATGCTTTGACGATTCTGGATCCATGGGATTTCCATCCTACAAGTCCATCTCGTGCTCATTTGGACAGCATTAGAGTAACTCCCTGAGTGTGTGGAGCATTTTAATCTTCGTGACCAGAGAATAGCTGCATCTCCCCCGTATTTAACCTTTGTTGTACAGCGTGGGTCCATTGGATTTCGTTGATTCCTAGTACTGCCAAGTTGTATCTTCTCGTTTCCGCTGCTATTTGACTGGTCTTCCCAGTCTCCCACATTGTCCGGACCTTTCATGTGCCTGTAAAAATTGTTCTTCTGGTTGTTAGAAGGGCCATCGGCCTCGTGGCTTCTGAAGAAACT